ATCAGAATAATAAATTAAATGTGAATTTTCTTTGTAACAAAGATTTTATTGTTATGCAAATGTTTCAGACTAAAAAAAGTAAACATATTATTAATAGGGTATTTTTATAAAAGATGTTAATTGGTAGCAAAAAGTGGGGAGGATATGATGAGTTAATGTAAACCCACTTTAAAGAATACCAATCGGCTCAGAATGATTTTTAAGTCGTCCGCCGGACCATGTAAACCTTTTGTTATCAAACTATTAATAGATTTTTGTTAAAATTGGAAAACATTTTGCTCGCTTAGGAATTGAAGTATTTGCAAAAGAGAAATCAGGTAACGCTGTTCCTTTCAAAATATTGTTATGTATTGAATATTAAAAGTTTTGTTTTTTTAACTTATTTTTTACAGTTTTTATTAAAATACCCTTTTAGTAAAAATCTTCCAAACAAAATTAAAAAAATGGAATTGACATTAAGGAATATTAAAATACAAAAAGTAAATGAACTGTTTAGTCTACAGAGTAATTAATTACGAGTCTATTCTTTGAAGTCAACATATGGTGCAAATAAATAAGTAAAAAGGTAAAAGAAAATTTATAAATTTTCCAGAAGCAATTAGTATATATAATTAAATAAGAATAAAATTAAATAAAAATAGTAACAACATTAAGAGGAAATTCAACTGAACCAGGACTTGTGCCGTGGCTATGTATTTCTTAGGTATTAAATTTTATATACTGTTATAAAAGAACCTTTCTAAAAGTTACAAAATTTGGATAAAAATTTTTAGAGTTATTAAAGTTATCACATTAATTTCTTCAACTATTTGAACATTGTGACTATATTTTCACACAACGCTATAGGATGGCTATTAAAAAATACTTTAGGAAATTATAATTTTAATATTTTTACAGCAAACCCCTAAAGCTAAAAAGTGTAGGTCATAAAATGGAACTGTGGTAGTATAATTATTGCGTGCATTTGATACTAGTTCTCGAAAGCATTTTTTCTTTGCTGCACATGTGTTTAGTTCCGTACATTTTTATATGAATTATACTTTCTTAACTCCATTTCACTTTATAGTCCACCCATTATTAACAAGGTTGCCAAACTAATTAACTTTACCTTTATGACTTTCGACATCAAGGTCATCAATGATACGTATCATATAATTGTTATTGTTATTTTTGGTTTTTAAAATGGTTTTTTTAGAAAAACAATAACAAAAAAAAAAAAATAAAATATAAATAAAAACCATAAGGAAAACAAGGTGTTCCATATGAACTTTTTCGCATGATAGCACACAAAACAACTTTTACCCATAAACTAGTTTTTGTACATGTGGTATTTTCTCAATTAGATAGTATGTAGTTGATCCAAAACCCCCTTTTTTGTAATATTGAAAATGAATTTTAGATAATAAACGCGTGTAAGTGAAAATGACCGTTCATGTAAGTTTAAGGAGCGAAAATGATATAACATGCGATTTTGGAAAAGAAAACATAATTATATAGAATATGATCAGGATAAGGAATTGTAGTTTATTTTTATATAGTCATTACTACTACATTAGAGTTTTTTACTAAAATTCAATAAATTTTCGATTTAAAATTTTCCAAGAAATTCTCGATAAATTTTCAATTTATAGAAAATAATCTATCACTGTTTTATTTAAAGAGAATTTTTGATAAATTTTCTATTTATAGAAAATTTTTAATAAATGTTCTGTTTATACACTGAAAATAATCCATGCTTAACTTACGAAAAAAATTTCGTAACTACTTTTTTCGTATTATATACGAAAATTTCGTGTATAATACGAAATATTGTTTAATCAACCCCTTTTCTAATTTTACGAAAGTACGAAAACCTGTCGTAATATCTTTTTTCGTATATATTAAGAAACTTTGTTTTCTTTTACAAAAATAATTTCGTTAAGGCATGTAATATTTAACGAAAGTAACGATTTTTTTTTTCGTAACAAGATTATTTTGTAATATACAAGAATTATTTTTTGATTTCACAAAAAAATTATTTTGTTACGATTTTTTTTTGTTATTTTCGTAATTTTAAGGGAGTTAAATAAACTTAATTTTTAATTTAGGCAGCTAATTTCCTGTAAAATTTTTTATGTTTTTTTAAAAAACATAAAAAATTTGATTTTTTTTAATTTGCAATTTTTTTCTTAATTTACAATAATTATTTTAAAAGAACTAAAATATTTATGTCTTAAAAAATCGTAAAATGAACAATTTTTTTTTTCTTAAATTATATAAAATTATTTTGCATTTTATTAAAATATTTCATACAATTTCGTATATATTACGAAAGAATTTCGTGGTGCGAAACCACGAAGCATTTCGTACAATGTACAACATTTTTCGTGTATATTAGGCATGGATTATTTTCAGTGTAGAAAATTATCGATAAATTTTCTATAAAATAAATATATATTTTATAAAAATTTATACAAAAATTATCGATCAATTTTTAATTTATAGAAAATTTTTATCAATTTCCTTTCCTATAACTCTTCGTAACACTGTGTTTAAAACGGGAAAACGCGTGCTAAACAATACTTAACACAAAAAGTTAAACATAGAAAGAAGAAAAACTGAAAAGTTTACTTTTAGAAAAACTTAATAAAATATTAGACAAGTAAAAGAAAATCTTCACATAAACACACATATTCACAAACTGAATGACGCCATAGTTGCCACCCATTAGAAAAGGGGCAAAAACCGATTTTTTTTTTTCGGTCGTTGCTGTTTATATAGCGGTAACAACATGTTGCTGTTAAAAAAAAGCAAACACAGATATACATTAGCACCAAGAAAACGAATTTATATAAAAAAACCGTTTGTTTGTTTACACTCTCCAAATAAAACAACAACAAAATTGTAATCTGAAAACAAACGGAGAGAATCGGTCAATATAAACAAATCGACTCTGAAGAAGCAAAAAAAAAAAAAACTTAATAGATACACGAGAATATAAATTTTGTATTTGGAACAGTATGCTAATTTAGCGTGTTTTAAAGTTACTTTTTTAGTTCGTAATATTACAAATGAACTCTAGCAAAATCGCTTCATGGTCTCACCTAGATTGAATCTCATTAATATAGTTTAAAAATAGGGTTCTATAGTTGAAACGAAAAGTCGACTTTTTGCATTTAGATAAAAGTCGACTTTTCAACTTTTTTCATTTAATTAAAAGTCGACTTTTAGGCTTTTCGACTTAAAGTATTTTATAAATAGTCGACTTTTCGACTTTCTCCGATTTTTTTCGACTTTTTGACTATATTCGACTTATAGACTTTTTTCGACTTTTTTTGACTTTACGACTTTTTTCGACTTTTATTTACAAAGTTAACTTTTCGACTCTTTTCACAGACGATAGTCGAGTTATCGACTTTTTTGGAACAAAATAGTCGACTTCGACTTTTCAACTTTTTTCGACAAAAAGTCGATTGTTCGATTATTCGAAAGTCGATTTATAGAACCCTAGTTTAAAATCAGTCATGATAAGGTAAAATTTATGAACTACACTGAGGGAAAAAGCCAGTAAAAAAGTACCGAAATTGATACAATATATTGTCAAAACTAAGCATGCCACGTTTGTGTTAACATTCAGACAACGGATGTGTATAAAATTTAACATTAACAGTTAACATTTTGACAACCACCGTTGTAATTTTGACAACGTATTGTTGTCATTGCAACAACGCATTGTTGTAATTTTGATTATGCTTTGTATAATTTCGACAATACATCGTTGTGATTTCGACAGTGCTTTGTTGTCATTTCAATAACGCAACGTTCTGTTTGATAACATAGCGTTATCACTTTGATAACACATCGTTTTCACTCCGAAAAGATAATTATAATAAATATCGACATACATATATCGGCGAAATGAAGTAAACAATTTCAGTTTCTATAAATTTACGGTTGTTCTAAGCTTTAGGGTAAGATATCTTGAAGAGGGAAGAATATATGATAGAGCTTAAATCTTTATTTTAAAGTCGACAAATTGGTCTTTCAGTGAATATAACAATTTATATCGCGCTGTCAAATATGGCCAAAAATGGGGGTATTTCAAACTTGATGATATCATTAGGAAAACCTGATGATAATGAAATTTTGAAGTCTGATTCAGATACTTTTGAAAAGTATGCTTTGGTCTCTGGGTTATTTTTGGAGTGTTTTACCACTGACTAAATACCTCGAAAATTCGGGATATCTTTAAATCTTTTGCATTTCGGTTACGTTTCCGCATTAATTTATGCTACGATCGAAAATTGGCATTTCTACAAAAAAAACGGAATCGTAAGAAAATGAAGAAGCAATACCATTTTATTTCAATGCTTTAAGATAGTGTGTATTCTGCATTACGATCGTAACTATGTTTTTGTAAGTTGTTATTTTAGTGGCGGATCTTCTAAATATTCTATCTGAATTTTCGGTACTTTCGCTGTTCAATGTAGTTGTTAAGGAACTAGTTTGCATTCCATTGGACTGGTGTAATACCAATGTTCCTTGAAAACTCCTTACAATTACTTTGGAATCACAACAATGTTTTACAGAACATATTCTTAAAATAATGGAGACATCACTAGTTCCAAATTTGCTGTTCATGAATCTCAAATGGTTCTGTTTGCACCCGCTTAGAAAATTTCTATAAAATTTTTAGCGAATATCTTTATTTTCAGCAAATATTCGATGAATTTTGTAAGAAATTCTAAATTTACACAAAGTTTATTATATATCGATGTATTTTTCTAATCAAGATGAAAAAATTCTCCACTACATGAATTCTATATAAATAAAGTTCAATCAGAATTATTCCCGTAATCGCTATTGTTGTCATCACTAATTTGTGGCACTCTCATAAAATAACGTTAGAAAACCTCAAATTACGATTTCTCATACAAAATAGCAACTCACACAAAAATAAAAAGCGATAGTATCTAGTGTTTGATTTTCTGTTAGTATTTTATCCAAATTCCATAACAAACTTGTATGCTTCGGGTGTTTGATGTTGTAAAAAAAGTTTCATGTTTTAGTTCCACTTCGACGGCTCCATAAAACGGTCGTGTTGTAAACGGTTACTTTAACTAACGGGCGCCAAAGAAACGTAAATAATTTTAAAATCAAATAGAAATCAGTGAACATAGTTGATTGGCGCTCATATGAATTAATTAATAACAATTAAATAAATTTAATGGGATTTCTTTTTTTTAATGATTTTTCAATAAAATTCAAATAATTGTTCTAAATTTAAATGGACTAAAATATTTAAAAATGCAATAAATTCTAAAATACAAAGTTCATGGTTAAAAAACGAGTTCGCACAGATGGTTTTGTGTAGTAATGTTCTATTACTAAAACACATGGATTGAATTTTAGAAATGTATAGGGGATTTTAGAAATATTTTATTTTTTGTTTTGGTTATTAAATTGTTTACATTTTCTGACTTGTTATTGAAAAAAGGTGTAAAATCTTTATTGCAATTCAGTCTATTTAAATACAAAAAATTTATTTACATTTCAATTTATCTTTAATTGAGTTTCAAAAACGGATCATATGATATTGAAAAAGTCGTGTCTGTAAACAATTCATTAAAATGTTTTAAATAACACAATATTTGTTTTTTTAATTATTTTATTGTTTATCAATAAATTGCTTTTTTTAAGATTTAAAATTAATGGTAGCTTAGGTGTTTAAAGTTAGATTTTTTTCGCATCTCACAATCTTGTAAAATAGTGTCTTACTTATTTAAATTGCGGCATTCGATCTGGAACAACCACGATTATTTTTTGCTTTCTATTTGCGAAGAGTCTGAATCGGATTATTAAGTAACGCAACACTGAATATTTGACTCAAATCGGAAGGAATGTTATCGTCTGTGAAATTTAGTACCGAGAAGCTGTTATATGATTCTATTCAAAATTTCATAATGAATTTAAAATTCCAGGGTTCACCGAAATTTTCAATATAATACCTATTGTAGTTGTATTCTATCGTAAAAAGTTTACTATTACCAATGTCCCTTGGATTAAAAGTGACAATTTTTCAATAAATTCATTAGATCGAAATTTGTGAACGTTCTAATTGTTTTTACATTGACTAAGTACTGAATGTTAAAAGTTCCTAGTGGATCACATCCTTAGATATTGTGGATCACTTCCTTAGATATTCTCATGTTAAAGTAGCTCTTCATATAATCTGATAAAAATAGTCCAATCCCTAAGCTTATTTTCCATACTTTATCCAAAACCATTAACTATACATATTAACTTTTTAAAATGGAGTTATTGAGCCATGTCTATATATAACAATTAAAAAAATATTGTAAATCCCTTAACATTTCTAACCTCTAATACGGCAGAAAAAAAATACAAAAACAAAACAATATGATTATAGTAACAATAACATGTTAAACAATTGTTAATCACTAAATTTAAATGTGTAAACAAAATTAACAACAAACAATAACAAAATATACAACATTTAACGGATTTACTTCGTTATCGAGAGTGTGGAGGCGTGAGTTACTACAGAGTGTGCAAATTATTTCAAAAAGGCATGTCACTATGGAGCTGATAAGGAAATATCAGCAAGGAAAATTAACTACCACCGATGTGCGAAAGCTGAATAGTACGTAATTGTTTATTTATTTTTTTCTCTAATTTCAATTATGTAGAATTTTTTTTAATTACATTTTTGTTAGCTTAGCAAAATTAATAACAAATTAGAATTTAATTGTTTTGTGTATGAAAAAAAAACGATTTGAAATTGTTGATGATAATGGAAAAATACAGTGACCACTAGTTGATGAATGACTTTTAGGGTTCTTAAATGTGATTTCTTTCGCTTTTTTTATAAAGAAGTAATTTAGTTAAAATAATAATAATAATAAAATACGAATATTATTTAGACTGCTTCAAAATAATGAATTTGCAAAGACTTTCCCTGGAGTGAAACCTTGAATTGTTAAAATATATAGTGGCTCCATCTTTAAAATCCCAAGAGTCTTAATCTAAACTGTTCATCAAGTATTAGTTTTACTAGCCTACTGAATAGTAATGACTTCTTTATTAACTACCTTATTGACTAGTCTATTTACTATTCACTTGACTAGTCTACTGACTACTGGATTGAGTAGTCCACTGATTAGTCTATTGACTAATCTTTTGATTAGTCTATTGACTAGTCTTTTGATTAGTTTACTGACTTTTCTTTTGACTAGTCTACCGGCAACTCTATTGACTAGACTGTTAACTAGTCTACTGACTAGGGTACCTAGGGTACTGATTACACTAGACTAGACTATAGACTAGACTGTTGACTAGACTATGGACTAGACTATAGACTAGACTATAGACTAGACTATAGACTAGACTATAGACTAGACTATAGACTAGACTATAGACTAGACTATAGACTAGACTATAGACTAGACTATAGACTAGACTAGACTATAGACTAGACTATAGACTAGACTATAGACTAGACTATAGACTAGACTATAGACTAGACTACAGACTAGACTATAGACTAGAATATAGACTAGACTATAGACTAGACTATAGACTAGACTATAGACTTGACTATAGACTAGACTAGACTATAGACTTTACTATAGACTAGACTATAGACTAGACTATAGCTAGACTATAGACTAGACTATAGACTAGACTGTTGACTAGACTATGGACTAGACTATAGACTAGACTATAGACTAGACTATAGACTAGACTATAGACTAGACTATAGACTAGACTATAGACTAGACTATAGACTAGAACTATAGACTAGACTATAGACTAGACTATAGACTAGACTATAGACTAGACTATAGACTAGACTATAGACTAGACTATAGACTAGACTATAGACTAGACTATAGACTAGACTATAGACTAGACTATAGACTAGACTATAGACTAGACTATAGACTAGACTATAGACCTAGACTATAGACTAGACTATAGACTAGACTATAGACTAGACTATAGACTAGACTAAGACTAGACTATAGACTAGACTATAGACTAGACTATAGACTAGACTATAGACTAGACTATAGACTAGACTATAGACTAGACTATAGACTAGACTATAGACTAGACTATAGACTAGACTATAGACTAGACTATAGACTAGACTATAGACTAGACTATAGACTAGACTATAGACTAGACTATAGACTAGACTATAGACTAGACTATAGACTAGACTATAGACTAGACTATAGACTAGACTATAGACTAGACTTACTAGACTAGACTAGACTAGACTATAGACTAGACTATAGACTAGACTATAGACTAGACTATAGACTAGACTATAGACTAGACTATAGACTAGACTATAGACTAGACTATAGACTAGACTATAGACTAGACTATAGACTAGACTATAGACTAGACTATAGACTAGACTATAGACTAGACTATAGACTAGACTATAGACTAGACTATAGACTAGACTATAGACTAGACTATAGACTAGACTATAGACTAGACTATAGACTAGACTATAGACTAGACTATAGACTAGACTATAGACAGACTATAGACTAGACTATAGACTAGACTATAGACTAGACTATAGACTAGACTATAGACTAGACTATAGACTAGACTATAGACTAGACTATAGACTAGACTATAGACTAGACTATAGACTAGACTATAGACTAGACTATAGACTAGACTATAGACTAGACTATAGACTAGACTATAGACTAGACTATAGACCAGACTATAGACTAGACTATAGACTAGACTATAGACTAGACTATAGACTAGACTATAGACTAGACTATAGACTAGACTATAGACTAGACTATAGACCAGACTATAGACTAGACTATAGACTAGACTATAGACTAGACTATAGACTAGACTAATAGACTAGACTATAGACTAGACTATAGACTAGACTATAGACTAGACTATAGACTAGACTATAGACTAGACTATAGACTAGACTATAGACTAGACTATAGACTAGACTATAGACTAGACTATAGACTAGACTATAGACTAGACTATAGACTAGACTATAGACTAGACTATAGACTAGACTATAGATAGACTATAGACTAGACTAAGACTAGACTATAGACTAGACTATAGACTAGACTATAGACTAGACTATAGACTAGACTATAGACTAGACTATAGACTAGACTATAGACTAGACTATAGACTAGACTATAGACTAGACTATAGACTAGACTATAGACTAGACTATAGACTAGACTATAGACTAGACTATAGACTAGACAATAGACTAGACTATAGACTAGACTATAGACTAGACTATAGACTAGACTATAGACTAGACTATAGACTAGACTATAGACTAGACTATAGACTAGTTAATAACTAGTATATTGATTAGTCTATTGACTAGTCTGTTGACTACTCTAAGGACTAGTCTATTGATCTATGGACCGCTCTATGGACTTTCCATAGACTAAAACCTTGAATTGTCAAAATATGTCAGACCAATAACTTTTCAGACAATATAAACCACTGTTCTTAAAGAATTTTATATTATAATCGTATTCAAATAAATTTTACTTTTATTCAGAAATAAACATAAATAACTTTTCTAACCACAAAACTTTATCACCGATCTGCCATTTAAAATATTGAGTCGTTTAAATAAAAAAACTCTTATCAACAAGCTGAAAATTTCTTATTATAAATACTAGGGATGCCAACCGGGACTGGCTTTTACAAATCCCGGGATTCGGGATTTTGAAAATTGCAATCCCGGGATCCCGGGATATTTCGGGATCCCGGGATTTTTCGGGATCCCGGGATTTTTCGGTATTTCGGGATTTTACGGGATTTCGGGATTACATGAATTTAATTATTTTATATATGAAAATCTTTAAATCATCATATTTGTAAAGAAAATTGTTTAATTTTGTGGAAATTTAACAGACAGAAGATATATTTAAATTAAAACAATCCAATTAATTCCAATTTTTAAATAAAAACTTTCAGAATTGAATAATTTCTGAAACTTTTTAAATACATACTTACTTCCTAAATAAAAATAAATATCAAGTTCCGAAATTAGACATAAGCACTTTTTAAAACCTCATACTGTTCCATGTGAACTAATAATTATAACAGATACCAATTCAATTATTCGAACATCAATTTAGAACCTATTCTGTGAAAAATATTTGGAATTTTACTCAAAATACATATTAGTTTTGGAACATATTATTATATTCGTAGTATTAATTTAAAATTTTAGGTGCATTCAGAACAAGGTAATTTACCTTTACCGGTATCATTCAGATTTGTAGAAAGTTAGAAATGTAAAATCCTCTAGTATTGAAAAATAATGTTTGTATTCGACTGTGCCGAAATTAAATACCCACCATCAAAATATTGTAATGTATTGATATTAATATCAGCATCAATGTGATTTTCAGAGGAGGTCCAATTAGGTTTTTTTGTGTCAATTTTGTTCCAAATTTGCAGCCCAAATAGAATGAGTCTTCTAACTCGTGTTTTCAGCTTACAGACACAGAATGTGTATACTTTTTGGGTCGGTCTACGACCAACATTGCAATGTGCTAACAAGTAAAAAGTTATAGTTGGGCGATGCCTACCATATAATACCCTACACCAGTTATAAAAATAAAATGTGATTTATTGTTCATAATAAAGCATCTAAGTTGAATTGTACCTTGCCTCAGATATACTTTAGCTATTTTTTGTTGAATAAAATTGTGTACATGTAAGTCATATTTCGAAGGGGGCTTTGTATAGGGGCTAGGGTCAAATGAGGCAGTATCACAAAAAATACATTAGGGTCATGAAGGCTAGTATAGAACTTGGTTTTGCAGCTTTTTGTCGAGATACGAGTATATTGAACATAATTATGAACTTAAAAACCCTATTTGGGGGGTTCAGTTGTATGGGGGCTAGGTCAAATATTGGACCGATGTTATCCATTTTCAATAGGATCCGTCTCTAGTACAATAGAAGATCATGCAAAATTTCATTGAATTATCTTCAAAATTGCTGTAGTTTGATTACAAGGTTTACACGGACGGACAGACGGACGGACATAGCTAAATCGACTCAGAAAATGATTCTGAGCCGATTGGTATACTTTAAGGTATAGGACCAATATTATTGTGTGTAACAAACATCAGCACAAACCCAATATACCCTCCCCACTAAAGTGGTGTAAGGTATAAAAACGAAGTGAATAAATAAATTTATATGTGCTATGAGTATGGACTCATACCACTTTAAAAAATAAAAGGTTCAAATATGTATAAAATTAGCTCTGCGGAATTTTGTTTTGCATGAGTCAAAAATAAAATAAGATCGTAATTTTCAAATTAATGAAAATTATGGCTCAAAAAAAGAAAATAAAAACAGTTTTTTGAAACAAATCCTAATCCCGAAAAAATCCCGGGATTTATTTTCCAAATCCCGGGATTCGGGATTTGCCAATCCCGAAAAATCCCGGGATTTTCGGGATCGGGATTTCGGGATTGGCATCCCTAATAAATACCCACTAAATAAATAAAATATTTACCCTAAAATTTATAAATAAAGAATATTTAACTATAAAATCTTTAAATTATTACTCTTTTATATTCATGATAT